AGCTTTGCAGATCCTTCTCTTTTCAGCTCCTCTGTAAGTTGGGGTGCTTCTTCTGTAATTTTTTTAAGCTTTTCCATGTGTAATGAGATTGCAGACAGCTGTTAGTAATCACCCTATTATAGTCATCCATGAATAACAGGATTGTTTGCTAAAGTGTTGTCGTGGAGTGCCTCTTGGATCTGTGTGTTGCTCCAAGTATAATGTGAACCTGTTGACTAAGGAATTTATTACTTTCAAGTCAATTTGGGCAAACTTGGTTTTGCAGCCAACCTCTTTTATAAAGAAAATACTCTAAGGAGGTATTTCATAATGCTTTAAACATGATAATTTTATGCTAAACACTCAATTGCAAAATGTGATGGAAGTCTGCTCCTTCCTGTTAAAATATTCACACTATGGATAGCCAGTGCTCACAGCAAAGACTGGATCTTTAACCTAACAGATAAAAATATTACAGAGATCTTGTTTGAGTTTGTATGTGTGTTTTTCTTTGGTCCTTTCAATGGCAGTATTGAATCTGATGAGCGTAACTATCTCCTTAACGTTGTGGGGGACTTTTTGCCAAGTCTGCCCAACATAATAAATGTCCCTTTGCCTCAGCCTCTGCGATTTCTTTAATAAATGCAGTGTCAGCGTGCAGATTTTAGGAAGGAGAATGTAGAGGGGCAACCCCTGAGTCTGGGTAACTGTTTTAACAGAAGACTGGGGGACAGAGAGCCGCCGGGCTGCTGTCAGTGTCCTGCCGCAAGAGAGGCTGAGCCCAGCACGTTTTGGAAAGTGACTATGTGGAGCTGCCAATAAGTTGCAAGTTTTTGTTGTATAAGCGAATAGTTGTCCAAATAAGCCAGGGACCTGACGCCTGCTTGGCTCCTGGCATCTACCAGGGAGAAATGGGAACATGGGAGCTGAGTGTGGGATCAGGCACCAAGAGGAGGTGTCTGAGGTACCCGTTCCCCTCACTTAAGTATCTCCTTTTATTGTCTCTTTTCTTGAAATAGAAAATTTAGAGGAACCCTGCTATGATTTCTCGTATGAGGAAATCAAGGCATTTTTAGTATAGTATCTCTGACTGAATGCCCATCAAGCAAATTTCATAACTGATTTGGGAATGGAAACTGCATTATTTCTTCCAGCTTCCAGCTGTGATGTACCATAGCATTCTTGAGAGTCAGGACTGAAAATGATTACCTCGTCTCCTCATGAACATAGTGTTTGTCACAAAAGGGCCAGAAAGCATTTTTCTTTTTACCAGTCTGTGTAGCACAGGTTCAGGATTGAATTAATGAGTGTTGTGCATAAAGTTTTTGTTCTATAGCTGGAGAATTAAACTGCTTTAGAAGTTTGCATAGAGCTTTGTTGCTTCTCTCGTTTATTCCAGTTGAGAAGGAGGAAATAATTTGAAGGTGTTTGGAAGAAGAGGAAGAGGGTTTATTGGACACATTTTAAAGAAGAGCTTGCTTGCTGATAAATCTTGAGTCAGTCTTACATATATGCATTCCTATCTTCACCCAGTCTTGAAATATGCATTCAGATCAGCGAAATAGTCATTGACTCATCTTCTGGCAAGTATTAGTAAATATGAAGCATATGGAGCAAGGATAATACCTTTCTTTAAAATCCACAAGCTTATATGGACTTGAGGTGAACTTGTTTGAACATGCACTTTCTCTGAGCAAAGAATTATGGTATAAAACTAAAGGGTTAATCACTTTCATATGCTAGAAAGCTTAGGTTCTGATTTAATTTGTTTTATTAACAAGCTTTTTTCCTTCTTTCAAGTAGAAAAATCTAAATAGTTTAGCAAGAAAATAAATTAGAGAACATAATTCAGGAGCCATGGTATATTTTGTGCAGTGCATGTGATTGTAAGGGCTACAGCTTTGACCAGACATCTTCAGACATCAAACTGCTGCATCTCTCTGATATGCTGTTTGATGTACATATTGATGTGCAGTCTGATTGCTCCTCTCTGATGTGCAATTTCCCTTTCCTAAATTAAATAATTTAAAGGCTACTGAAAAGCTATTCCCATTGCCTCTGCTGTTTGTTTACGTCTTAGAGTCTGTTCGTAACACGTCTTAAACAAATTGTAGGAGTTTTAGGACCACTGCATGAAGACTGTCCTGACATTATCAGTGAATTCTGCAACATGTGTTATTAATGCTGCATGTACCCCATGATGGCCTGGAGAATCTGATAAGGACCTGTCTGTTAGAGAGGTGGGAAGAAATTAAGCTGAGCTAGGTCTGAGCAGCCTGATAGCATCCAGAGGTACTGCTGGCCAATCGTTAACATAAAACATAATTTAAGTTCATTTCAGTAATGTCTGCAAGTTCAGAAGGTTCAGGTACTGTGTCGTTATTTTTAAAGGAAAGGCTACATCTATTTAGTGGACTAATTTTATTGCTTTACATTGGGTCTGAGATACTTGTCCTATAATATATCTAAAGCTTGAGAAGATGGAGTGGTTTGGGTTTTTTTTAGATTTTTCCAACTTAACTCTGAAATTAAAAACAGTTTTGTCTTTTTATCACGCAAGCAATCATGTGTTGCTTGTTACACAGAGTAACTGCCTCTTTCAAAGGGTAAACATTTATTTGCTGTATTATCAAAACCATTATTTCAGTTACAGTATGCAATTCCTCCTGGCGTTTCTGTGGCGCCCTCACCGTGGCAACCGGAAGCTTCAAAAACACTTTTTTTTTTTTAAAAACAAAACAGTTGAGATACATTTTGTTATTTTTACTGATGTAAGAAAAAATTGGAGTAGTCCAATTTATGTATAAAGTGGTGAGCTGAACAGCTGAAATATGTAAACGTCAAAATGCCTGGTTATTGGAATTTAAATTCCCGGTTTATGTTTTGAATTTGCCAGAGAAAGTTTTGTGTGGCTTGTCAAGACCCATTGAATGTGTGCTTGTTATTTTTATGCATAAAACACAGTTATTTGGAGCTTGTATGGTTTTAAGTTGAGCAGTTTGCTGGCAGGATCTCGTCGTGCTTTGCTTTAATTTCATGTTGGGTATAGAGGGTGCCTACCCATCCGTCGTGGCTCTGCAGGGTGTTTGGGGTGATTCTGGCTCGGTGCTGCCACATGAGGGCACTGATTGAGCTCCAGCCATCCCGATTGCAAAATCAGCTAGGGTTAAAAGTGTGCTTCTCTCCCATGCCTCTCTTCCTTCCTGCCTTGTACTTGCACACATGCCCCTGCCTCCCACGCTGGCTTGGTCTTGCCCAAAAGAGTGGGGAGATAACAGTCCTGCTTAGCAACTCCTCTATTCAGAGGTCTGCCTTAGCATGCAGCATGAGGCAGATTTTTCTTCTCAAAAACAAGCAAACCCACCCACACTTGACTTTTTTTTTTTCTGGCTATGTTATTTTCAAACCATCAGGACAGAGATGAAGGATGGCTTGATTTATTTTTCCCCCAGCTTTTGCAATTGTCTGGCTTGCTTTATTGTGTATCGAGTGAACGTGCAGTATTTTCACACCACCACTCCCTTTTGAGGCAGTTTATTTTCTTAAAATATCAAAGTCCTTTCAGTTCCTTACAAGTTTCAGCTTCCACTGCTCTTTCCCCACAAGTTCAAAAGCCTTGCAGTCCCTTCAGGAGCATCACCCTTTGGCCAGGAAGGGCTCACAGCCTTGTATATCCCCAGGGGACCTCCTCACTGGGCCAGCCTCTCACATTGCAGCTCCCTCGTCTGGCTTTTGTCTTCTCTGACATCTTCATGACTTCCTGCAGGGGAGTCGTGACCCTCCTCTCATCACAATGGGTTTTTTAATTGCATGCTTTCGTAATACGACCTGTGCAGCGTTTCATTCACCAGGGGAGATGAGCTCAACTTGGCACATCATTTAAGACAAATCAGAAAATGTCTTTTAAAAATCCCTTCTGAGCCATGACAATATCCCACTGAGCCTGAGCCGGGCAAGTTCAGCATTTTAAGTGCAGGGGAATGTGTGCTTAGGGTAATGCTGTGTTAATTTGAGGCCATCCACTAGATCTCTCTGAGAAACCAAGAAATCCCATTGCTTAAATTCCATTTCTGTAGCTGTGACAGTGCAGGGTCAGTTCATATCCGTGTTCTGACACGCACCAGCGCTGCAAGTGCAATCGAGAGTTATGTGCTGTTCCCTGCTTTGTTATGTTAAAAATGAAAGTTACCTTTAACTCCTCTCTTATTTCCATATTG